TGAGATGAAATGTTAACCTATTACTGTGGACATTGGAAATTTTTTTCATTCCATTGTTCTACCACTCACCATGGCTAATTCAGCTCCTCGTTTATGTCATAATCGATTGTTTTTTTAACACTGTAAAAAATCGCTCTAGCACACTTTAACACTAACTACACACAATGCTACACAAAACTACTTTAAAACAACTTTAATACACTATATCGTAGATAATTGTTTTTTTTAACTGTCTGTTGAAATTTTTAGGACGTAAGTGAGCGTAGGCTGCAATAGATCGCTGAGGGCGTGGCTTCAATAACTGACCGTCAGTTCTGGTGAGTTGCTCGTGGTAGACTGACGACAATGAGGGGAGTTTCAGCTGGAAATCCCACTCTCTCGAAACCGGCGTGTGATTGGCTTACTGGAGAACGTATCAGATATAGGATAGAATTTGGGAGGTTGCAATGATGTTACACGCGATATTTTTGAATATAACAATGAAGTTTAATTATCATGAAAAAGGCATACAATGTTTCTATAATATGTATGGCAAATTTACTTTTACACATACTACTACTATATGCTATTACTATATTTCGTTTATTTGTTATTTCGATTTTTGTAACTTTTTTTTGTTTTTTCCAATTTTTCTTTCAAGTTTTCATACACAGTACATGTAAGGATTGCTCTGCATTGTTTAAAAGATGACAGTTCATCAGTTAATAAAAAAATGAATAGTTATATCTGAGTTTTTTTTATATAAAAAAAAGTTGGGATTTTAAATAGTAATAGTAGTTATTTAAATGATAATTATCGGATCAAATATTCACAGTCTATGGTGATTGATCGTCAGTAGTGGATGGCTGATGAATAAATATCTGTCGCGGACAGTCTGTTGGTTAATAAATCCATCAACCATGATGTTCAACTCCTGTTCCGCGCCATCGTTTCTTGTGTTGAGTCCTTCGACTGCTGCATAAAAAATACTGTTTGGGGTAGGGGTGCTATATAGCATGAGCTCCTTCAGAACCCTCGATTTGCGGAGTAACCCTTCTACATTGACAGACTCCATCTTGGGGCAGCGAGTCAGTATCAGAGTCTCCAAATTTATAAGGAGGTGGAGCGATCCTCCTTTAATCTCCCGAAGATTACTGAGGGTCAGGCATTTGAGTTCTCTTAGATGTGATAATTTTGGGAGTATTCGATCGCTAATGTGACGGTTGCCTGTAAACAAGAGAAGAAATTTATATTTCCATTTTGACCATTTTTTCTCATGCAAACATCTCTTCGATTAAAAATTTTTGTTTATGGTCCTTACCTCTAAGGGTCAAACGCTCAATTCGAGGACAGGCCTCGGCCAAATTCCCGATGAAAGTGTCAGTGCACCACCGTTGAGGGCTATTCGCGCTGTTAATGTAGAGACTCCTCAAGTTCTTCAGATTCAAAATGCCATTGAGTCCCTCTTCAGATAGCTCAATTACACTATGAGCTCTAGAAATTTCAACATTCTCCAGAGTTGTCATAGTTGCAATACTCTGGAGCAAGCCATCATTGATTATATTTATCGAGAATTCCTCGAGGTTCATCAGTTCCAACATTTTCGTTGCCAAACTGTTGAGCATGTGTCCCTCACTGAAATCCTCAGTGAAAATTCGCAGTCTCTGCAGAGATGCGCCATTCAATCTCTCGAACCAGGTGTTTGTTCCCTTCATATATATTTCCACTGATAACTGATGTAAACTCTGGTTGACCATCCCTAAATCCCGCAATCTCCTGTCCTGCACCGGAGTGTGAATCTTCACCTTGATCTCCTCCAATTGTTGGCATTGTTTTGATGCCTCTGAAATGGTTGTTGTCCTTTTGTGATCTGGCAAATCACTCAACTTGATCAGCCAAGGACCGCAGAGACTAATTACCCCCTTAACCATCGCATTGCCTGCAGTTTTGATCCTGACAACCTGGCCTTGTACAATGATGGTTTGCAGATGTCTTAGGAAATACTCTGGTGGCTCTACGACGACTTCACGGCTGTCAGCACAACAGAGTCTGACGACTCGATTCCATCTCTTGCACACTACAAACAGCAATAGAAATAATATTAATACTAATTGAAATAGTAATAATAGAAATAATTAATACCTAATAAAATTAATACGAATTCATCTCCCTTGTAAAAAATCGGTCTTCTAATAAATACTAACCTCGTCCTACTTTTAACCGTTCCTGAAATCGAGGTAAATACTTGAATATTTCCATTAAGCAGTCATCAGGCAAGTTGTTCAAGGTCACTTCATCTATATTATTGGAGTTGTTCATTGTTGCATTTAGAATTTTTTCCACCAATTCAAAATAACTGATTCCGAGATCGTGCACTTAGCAGGCCACACTTTGCAGGTCGACTGACTAACGAGGAAGTGAGGAGGAAATTGTAGCCCTGGCCTGCAGAGGTGGGGGCCGAGGATTGTATACTGCTTGCCGGAAAAGAATGACGTTCGGCTCTACCCAGCCGATAGCGCGAGACGGTATTCAGCTGGATACACCCGAACGCCATTCTTTTCCGACAAAAAGTACTGAAGTAATTGGGTGGAGTGGTCGGTTTGAAGACTACGTTAGGCCCCCGAACTACTTTTATTATAATGATTATAATTAAATTTTCAATTATAAATAATTGGAATTTTCATATGAAAGAGTGATTTAAATAAATTACACGATTTATGAATTGAAATGTAAGAAATTATTTGCTAACAGCGTGCAACAAAAAATTTAAGAAATCAAATTGTCACCATCAATGGAACCTCATCCGCGAGGGTGTTAGTGGCGCACGCTTACAGCTAATTAACCCGAAGGGGTACAACCCAAGAACCCTCTCCATTTCTTATGTATTTTTTTATTCAGAAAATGAGGGGGGGACCCCTGGATTGTCGTGACAACAAAGTTCACATCGAAATGTCACGAGATGAAAATACACAATAGTAAAAATAATCAAGGTAATCAATTAACCTGTGGCTGCCATAATAATAATTTAATTACCCCCATATTTTTTGGCCGCTTGAATACCGGACAAATAGTTGTTTGAAGTTTTAAATCAACTTTCCTCGTTTGTCCATAGGTTTAATCCAACGATATTTACATCCACAATGAAATAATCTCCCTCGAAACAGTCTGAAACTCATTTCCAGATTAATGAATATTTTCGGTTGCAGTGATTTAAAAGAATTCGATAATTCCAAGTTCAATTATGGGCTTTTCGGGATAATCATAATTTCATGTGATTCTTCATGAATTCTGTCGAAGGGTCAGAGTATAATAGACATCATCGAATATTTATCATAAATAATTTTTTGTTCGGTTTGAGATATTACAAAAAATCACTTTTTTCGAAATGTTGAAAAAAATGTAAAACGTTTTCCCAATTCCTCAAACGCTCGAGATTGATTAATTCGAAGTTAATTACTTATAATTCATTGATTCAATTGTTATTTCAATTTATTATTCAATTTGGAAGTTGAAATAAAAAATGTTCATGTCGAATTATCATTGAAATTCCAGTAATCTCTTGAAATTTGTCAAAAACATGTAACATGTAAACAAAAATACATCGTCGGCTGACGCAAAAAATATCGGTCGACACCGCAACGCGCCATCGGGCTGTCTCAATACTGCGGTGTCATGTTACCCCTCAGAGAAAGGAATATAAACAAACGAGGACGAGTAATATTGGGAATTCTTGCCCTTGATTTGCCCTTTGCATAGAGAGAAACGGAAAGCGTTTACCTCTCTATTCATTAGAAAATTTATTTTTATTGTATTTCGCGTGCCTCGTCCTAGTGCTTGCTGCTCTCCCCCCTTTTCGCACACTCGCCCCGCCTTCCACTATATGGAAACCACAGGGCTCATCGCATCACTTCCCTCGCGCAGTAACGAGTTTTCACCTGAGCGGACAAGTGATCAACATAAGAAACAAATGAAGTACAACATTCATGAGTTTTGTTCTATTTATGTTTCTATTGTTTTGTTCTGTTGATACTTATGTTGTTATTCTGATGTTGGATTAAATAGAAAATGGTAAGTACGTCGACACTTTAATTGTATACTCTTATGATTTTCAAAATTTAATATTGAATTCTTTAATTATCTGTAACATGAAACATTCCGCATAAAATTTACAAATGATGTTGTTGGAGAAGAACTCTTGGCTTGCATCAATCGCTAGTTAAAAAATGCAGGAATATTTCTCAACGTTTTTGTAAGCAATTGTTCCGCGGAAACTCGCGCTTGAATAAAATTTTTGCTCCTGGTTTACATTCTGATGTGTAGTTTCAACACACCAATAGTGTGAAGTTTATGCTCGTTTATACACGCGCGAAATTTTTTAATAGAAAACCCTAAAGAATTCTATAGGTATTTCTATAGACTTTCTGTAAGACTTCTATTGAATTTTCTATACGTTTTTTGCCATTTCTTTGGACGTGTTCGATAGGAAATTCTCTAAAAAAAAGTTTATAGAATTTTGTTGTCTATACAATTTTATCGGCTCAAATTTTCTAAGTTTTTTCATTCGATTTTTTTGAAAAGAAGAAAAAGAAAGAAAATGAAAAAACTTTGAAAATTTGAGTCGAAAAATTCTATAGAGAAATGAAATTCTATTGACTTTTTTTTTGCTATTGGCATTTTTCTATACAATATTCCTTATCGAACATGTCAATAGAAACGGCAAAATACGTATAGAAAAGCCAATAGAAGTTCGATAGAAATTACTATAGAATTCTTTAGGATTTTCTATATTAAAAATTTTCGTACGTGTAACGAAGTACACATATGGACAATATTAAACATATCCCAAATGCGTAGTGTATCTTAAATGCACGCCATATTACACACTCTACTTTACAATGTTATTGGCTAAGACAATGTTTTTTCAATTTTTAGGCGAATAAAGTCATCCGAATTCCATGACAGAGGCCAGGGACATGGATTTATATGTATCGACAATTTAGACACTATCTCGATAATACGCAGACATGTGCGGGTAAGACATGTCTCCGCTGTGCTTATCGACATAACGGCTGTCAAGTTGTGATTTGGGAATTGCCGGATGGTACTGTGATTGAGAATGGCAAGACTCACTACCATGGTGAAGATGTTGAGGCCGTGCAACAAGTTCAGAACGGAGATGAATCATGGCTATTCATGCCGGGGGGCCACTACAAGATGTAACGAACCACTTGACTGAGAGGTAATTGCATCATACGATGAATTAAATTTGTAATAATAGAAATGAAGAGAAACTCAGGATTTTTACATTTTAGATTCCATCAGTATCAAACACGGAATGCGATAAGAATGAAAGTTCGTCGTGCTGCGCCTCCTATGAGTATCCCTATACATCTGGATCATTTCGCTACACGCATAAAGAATTGCAAATCTATTGAGAAATCTGTTTTACAAGAATCTGTATTCACTGAAAATGGGAACGCGTTAATTTTTGCTTCACCACATATGATTTCTGCAATTACAGCAGAATCAGAAATGATCATCAATCGAGTCGCAAACGTAAGTCATAGTGACACTTTTTACAAGAAATTATCATTGTTATAACATACAGATTTCAAGATAACTAATCAACTGGACATAGGTACTTCCGGATCCATGGAACACTGACATTCTCATCATTCATCTAGTTAGAACAAAAGGCGATTTATCCTCGGTAAATAGTTTTATTATTTAATGACAATTTGCAGTTGTTCCATCGATAAGTAATAACATGTCGCATTATATTGATTGTTTTCAGACCTACAGTTGTTTCGTTGCTTACATAAAAGGTCCCTCAGAGGAGCTTTATAGACAAGTTCTGTTGAATATTGTGACTCTGGCACCTGCACTGAGAAGAATAAATAAGGCGATCACAAGTGTAGATGAACCATTGGTGAGTTCCATTGCTGCTATCTTTCCACAAGCGAGTCTGGGTATATTGTGGTGTGATTTTGTAAGAGTGAGTGGATAATCCGATGTACTTTTACTTGGTATGATAGATAGCTCACATGCAATTTAATTTACCACAAATTTATACCGTCTTTGTCGCAGGCAGTCGGCGATCTCTGGCATGATAGCGGGTTGAGTACCAGCCCGATAGAAATCCTTCATTATTTATGGATCTTGGGAGTTACTGGGAAGGATAATATCCAATCGGGACTGAAATTCGTGGAGAATGAAATAAAGCAGCTGATTATTCAATTTCCAAAACTTGGAACGCTGTTCTATTTATTCAAAACGCATTGGGAACAGCGCATTTAACTATTGGGTGCTCCTTCACAGGTCCTCCAGTTGAGCAAACGAACCGAGAGCTTTGGTCGATATATTGCAACTAAATTTGCCTACAACAAGAATAATGTTGAAAAATTAATAGGTAAATTGAACAGGTGACCGTTTCTATTAATATTTGAAGTAGTAATAGTCACTTTTATGAGCAATTATTCTTTTATTGTAAAGTCAATTCTTAATTTCTCAACAGGGGAACTGTGGGGAGGTTTGCAGATGGAGATGAACTTAATGAAAGCCTTTGAAGCTAATGATAACATCAAAGTGACAGATAAAACAGTCCCTCACACCATCCAAGCTTCCGATATCCAAGCTTTGGACAAAGCTCTTAGAGAGTACCAACGTAAGAGGTATGATATATTTCAGATGAATTATGCAAGAGATCAGTTCACCACGCACTAAAATTTCGAGTAAAAAACCCTAAAGAATTCTATAGGTATTTCTATAGACTTTCTATAACACTTCTATTGATTTTTCTTTTGACGTGTTCGATAGAAAATTGGAATGTCGTTGTCTATAGAATTTTTTCGGGTCCAATTTTCTAAGTTTTTTCATTTCATTTTTTTTTTAAGAGAAGAAAATAAAAAATGATTTTAAAAACTTGGAAAATTTCAGTCAAAAAATTCAATTGAAAAATGAAATTGTATCGACTTTTTTTTCCAATGGTCATTTTTCTATATAATATTTCCTATCGAACATGTCAGTAGAAACGGAAAAAAAAGTATAGAAAATTCAATAGAAATTTTATAGAAATTCCTATAGAATTCTTCAGGGTTTTTTACTAAAAATTTTCGTACGTGATGAATTTCCCCGAATCGACTGTCCTCAATCTCAATATCGCTTATTCGGATTTCAGGGTAAACTTTGAGAGTTTCTTCCTCAGATGTCTTCGTCCTTCAGTTTTGGAAAAATTGAGGATCATCGCAAAAGTAGGAGTTGTTCCAGAAAACAACGAAGTGGAAGAATTGGAAACGGCGTCCACAAGCAATAGAAGTCAG